CTGGGCGTTACTGAGGGTAGGGGGTAAGAAGCAAGGCAGTGCCATCATGAGTTGTATTGTAGCAAGCCGGTCTCTAATAAAGTTAAGTGAGGCTCTTAAAAGAATTGGGCAACAGTTCAAGGCCAGAAGGAGCAAGGCCAGAGGCCCAATTAAGGCAGAGAGGAGTGTTGTGAGCCAAGGAGAAGACTGGAATAGTGACTCATACCAGTTTTGTTTTTTTTACCCTGGTCTGTTCTCTCTCTAAGATCCTTTTGCAGACTATGCTCAAGGAGTCCCTTATGACACCAGAATGATTAGCATAGAGAGAGAACTGTTCTCCTAGAGCAACACATAATCCTCCCTTTTGAAGGAGTAAAAGGTCCAGGCCCCTCCTATTTTGTAAGGTGACCTCGGCAAGGGAGGACAGGGAACTCTCAAGATGTTCTATAGCAGTTTGTAATCCTTTTAAGTCCTGATCAATAGCCATACTAAGGGCATTATAATTTTGTCCTGTAGGATCCGTGCTGATGTTCCTAACCCTAGGGCACTGGCAATACTCATCCCCAAAAGAGTGGTGCCAGCAATCACCAGGGCAGCTGCCCTCTTATGGCGTGAATGTTCCAATGGGGAAAGCTTAAGGTCCATCTCGTCCCCTGAATAAAGGTTGACTCTTGGGGTTAGCTGGGCTAGCAGGCACCATGAGGGGGCAGAACAGTTGATTAAGTGGACACAAGGAATAAGCCCAAAACAACAAGCCCACCAGGCATCGGGAGGAGGTCGTAAGATTCACTAGAGGGGAGGTAGGCGGTCTGGTTACAGAGATACTGATAGCGGGGTGGAACGGTGGAGCCCTGCAAAGTGACACAAAGAGTCCCCAGTCCTGTGTTTGGCTCGGGGTCTATGGCTTGTGCCTGGATGGTTAAAGCTTTAATATCCCCCCAGGTCACTGGGCGGACCCAGTGTTGGGGGTCATCGTTGCCTGGAACGTTCTGGCCCTCCTCCCTTTGGATGGTCATCATGGTCAGGTCTCTCATCTGTTGTGTCGGTGGGACTGGCTGGTTCCCAGACTTGCAGCATTGGGCTGCCTTCTCCATGGATTAGGTTTCTGGTTTTGTCACCATCTCTGAGGCTGATACCTATGGAGCCAGCTGCATCACAGGCAACTCTGATGTTTTGGGCCAGGATCCAGAAGGGGGCTGGAACATTATCTGGAAAGACATAAGCATAGCTTCGCCCTTATGTTAGCAATAGGTGTGGGCCCTTCCATTCTCCTGTGAGAAGGTCCTTCCATCTCACCATGGGGGTGGGAGTGGGATGAGTGGATGCCCCCCAATGCTTTATGGCTGGTGGGAGGCCATTGGAGTCAAATTTTAAAAATATTTAGGGCAAATAAAGCTTGTTGTATAACAAAATTGGGATCCTTATAGTGGGGGCCTTTGTCACTGTCTCCCCCTATTTTCTGTATTTGCTTAATGAGCATTTGATGGGAGTGTTCAACATTCCTTGGCCCTAAGGATTATAGGGGATGCCAGTCAGTGCAGAAGTGGCGAAAAGCCATGGACGTGTAGCAGGGGCCATTATCTGTTTTTAATTGCCAGGGAACTCCTAAAAGGACCATGGCACATTTAATGGTTTTTATGGCATGGGAGGCAGTCTCGCCAGAGCAGGCCAAAGCAAAGTGGGCATCAGAGTAAATATCAATAATATGATGAATGTATTTTAGTTTACCAAAGGGGGAAAGTGAGTTACATCCATTTGCCAAATCTTATTAGGACTGAGGCCTCTGGGGAGAGTTCCAGAAGGTTGTAATGGCCCCAGGGGCACAAGGGGAGCACATGAGGAGCATGCATGGACCAGATGTTTGCAGCTCTGGATCAGCAAAGTAGGTAGGAGCCTAAATTTAGCTTGGGGAGAAAAATGGAAGCGGGCGTGTAAGTCCCTGGCTTGTTGTAAGAGAGCAGGATCCAGGGTAGCATTCATCATTAGTCTGTCAATGGTAGCATTGCCTTCTGCCAGAAGCCCTGGAAGATTGGTATGACAGCGCAGGTGTTGAACGTACCAAGGGGCACGCTGCTCAAGCAGCAATTGCAAAGAGGAGAGCAATAGATCAAGGGGGCTCTGGTGAGGTTGGAAGACTGCAAATGCCAGATTTTGTATAGTTTGGGTCACATAGGCACTGTCAGAAAATATGTTGCTTGGGGTTGTGGGGAAGTCTTGAAAGACTTGTAACATAGTAGACAACTCTCCAAATTGTACTGATCCTTGAAAGGAAAGGACTTTTTGTGAAGAAAGCCATCCCTCATGGAAGACCACATAACAAAATTTATGTTTGCTAGAATCTGTGAAGATTAGAGGAGCCTCGGGAAGGGGATTGCATTTTGGAAATGCCTGGGGAAATAAACACAAGGGAAGCTGTTTTATTCCTTGGAGGAGTCCATGCTGGGGATAATGATTATCATATTTTCCCTGATAAGTTAGTAGGAGAGTCTGAAAGCCAGGGGTTGTCAAGAAACAGTGCTTGGAGCATGGGGAGTAGAAGAGGGAGAACCAGTGACTCTGGGTCACAGCCATACAGAAGGCAGGAGGTTTGAAAGAGCTTTAGGGCTATTAATGCCCAGGCCTCAATTATAGGAGTGATTTTATGCAATTGACTTGAAGAAGAGTGGACCCATATCAATGGTCCCTGGGCTTGCCAAAGTGCTCCCATAGGGGTGTTTTTTGTTGGAATGACTGATGCCTGGATAGGCTGTCCAGGTTGTACCCTATTAACGAATGCTTGAGACAAGTGTGTATTTATTATTGTTATAGCACGTCGAGCCTCAGGCAAGACCTTGCGGGGGTGGAGGCTGTATCAGTGACCCACAGAGGTCAGAGAGTGGTGTAAGCTCTTCTGTGGACATGGGTAGAAAGCCCTGTATCCAATTTATGTTGCCACAGAGGGTCTGTGCCTCAGAGAGTGTGATCTTATCTGGTAACATAAGAGTAGGTGCTATAGGGAAGATAACATCTTGGATAGAATGGCGCAGAAAGGTATATGGGGCAGGTAACTGAATTTTATCTGCAGCAATAGTGAGACCCAGTGCTCAGAGATTTGTTTTAAGTTTTTGAAAAGCTCCTTGAAGGATCTTGGGGTCTTTATGGGCAATAAGAATGTCATCCATATAGTGTAAGATACACACCTCAGTCAACAAAGGCCTGCATGCATGGGCCACATAATATTGGCAAATGGTAGAGCTGTTTTTCATTCCTTGTGGAAGGACCTTCCATTGATAACTTTGGACTGGGAGATTATGGTTGGAGGTGGGCACAGAAAAGGCAAAATAGGGCTTATCATTATCATGGAGAGGAATAGAGAAGAAACAGGATGGAGGCAGATGGCTAACGGCCTGTAATGGAGGAGCAGAGGGTGGTGTGACTTCCTGCTTTTTACTATGGGAGCCCTCAGATCCTAGTCTCTTGTCTTCTGAATCCTCAGCAGTAGACATTGCCTTTTTGTCAGAGCAAGGCTCTGCTAGTTTCACTTTGACCTGGAGCGCTTGGGGTGAACCGTCCACAGCATCCTGCTGTTGAATTTGTTTATCTATCTCCTTTAAAATAAGATCATCTTGTTCAGGGGCAATGGGGGGAACTCCCTGCAGAGAGGCCAGAATGGCAGTTACAATGGGGTAGAATGGCCCGGGTTGCGGGTGTCCCTCTTTGACCTTTTCTAGCTAAGAATAACACAGGAGCCCATTGTTCAGGATCCCAGCAGCAGGACTCCATAAACCAAGGGGCAAGAGATAAGACTTCATCTAGCACTTTAGCTACATCCTTTTCGGTTACCTTAATTTGCCTGCTCCTGAGGAGAGAAACCAGTGCTGCAGCACAGGGGCCGGCGGCGGTTGGATGACTATTCCCCATTCTGGAGGTCACTCACCCTGCAAGATGTACCCAGAGGGACTCAGGAGCCATTTAAGGAGACGATCAGCGGAGACAGGAGTGACACGCCAAACCAAAGACTGTGAGCCAAAAGAGCAGGGACGCAAGAATGATGAGAGCAATCACTCACAGAGAAAGGGGAGAAAAAGAAGGCATTCCGTGCTCAAACCTGAGTCTGTGAGGGCCCCACATTTGGGCGCCAGCTTCAGCTGCCTGTTTGGGCTGCCTTCACGGTCGTGGCCGCCACTGCCTGATCCTGGACCCCAGGGCTGGTGAGGAGACTGTGTCAGCGGAGTCACATTCAGACACAGGATACCAGGTTCAGAGACACATCTACTTTATTGAGGAAACAAAGAACTTATATAGGGTTCTTAAGTCATTCAGGAGAGAGTACAATAATCAGGCCATACATGGGCAGACAGCTTAGGTTTTGGTTTACAGTTTCATTTTACTGATCGGACTAGTATTCCTGTAAATCATGTGATCAGCCCTGTGAGGGAGGGGTGGTTGGTTCCCTGGGATTAGGGGGCCATCTTGTGTCCTAAAAAGCTGTTATTCAAATCAAACTAACATACTCCAACATGGCTCTAGTTTCATCTTTGTACATGTGTAAAACCAGTAAGTGTTTCCCAGCAGCATTTGTTCAGTGGGTTGTTATTGCTCCAAAATACGTTTTTGACATCTTTGTTGACAATTAGGTAGGTGCAGCTGTGTTGTATTTTTTCTGGGTCCTTTTCTTTAAAAAATAATTTTTTTTATTTTTGAGAATTTCATACATGAGTATTGTATTTGCATTATTTCCATTCCTCCCAGGACCCCTCCAACTCCACCCATGGCCCCTTACTCCCTCTCAATTTCTTCCTTCTGTTCCCCTTTCCCTTCCCCTCTCCCTTCCCCTCCCCTTTCACCTCTCTGCCTCCCTGCCTCCCTCCCTCAGTCCCTACCTCCCTTCCTCCCTTTTCCTTCCAGAAGGGACTTCTGGACAGTTACAAAGCTACCTAGTGGCTGGAGGGGTTCAGGCCGTGGGCCAGTGGTTGGCTGGTGCAGAGCAGAGGAGGATACCCCTTTGAAGATATGGAGACCCCCCTAGTTGTGTTTGAGGTTCATCCCTGGAACAGATACTCATCCAGCGGTGGTGGTGGCAGGTGAGTCTGCAATGGCTGTGGCCCCACCAGTTTGCAGAAGTTGGCCATGTGGTCCCCCATCTTCTTGATGAACTTCACCTCGTCATCCAGGAAGTGGTTCTCCTGGAAGACACAGAGAAGGGAGCTCTGTGCAGGCAGCATCCAGGGCGTGAAGATCCAGAGGGCCTTGTTCAGGTTCTTCTCCAGGGCCTAGGTGGCTTCTGTGGCCTCTTGGGCTTTACCACACTCACTTGGAGAAGGCTTCCATATATCCTGGAAGAGCACAGGAGAGGCTGCTTTGATTTTGAAACTTGAGGAGCTCGCTTTGAGCCCTGGAGAATCTCCTTGACCAATTCGGGCAGTTTGTAGAAGTGGCCCACACTGTCCAGAGCCACACCATTCCTGTCAAAATAGTAACCCACAGGGAGATAGGTGTAGGCAGCCTGCAGGTGCAAGTTGACTGGGTAGATGATGGCAGCCTCCATCCAGCTGGGTGGAATAATTATGAAGAATCTGGGAGGTCATGACTGATCAACAATGTGATGCTAACTCAAAAAGACTGTATTGGTTGGTCCTAGGAGCCGAAGATGGAGAGGAGATGGTCCTGGAGGCTGTGGCTGAGTGCTGAGAGAGAGAGAGAGAGAGAGAGAGAGAGAGAGAGAGAGGGGAGGGTGGGGGAGGCTGTGTCTGAGTGCGGAGAGAGAGAGAGAGAGAGAGAGAGAGAGAGAGAGAGAGAGACTATTGAAGCAAGACCCCAGATCTAGAGTACCTCAGGGTGTGCTGCTCTCCCTCTCAACTTCTTATCCTTTGATTATTATTGTTAAATATATATATATATATATATACAAACATACACAATGCACTGAGTCCACTTAGTGGTGCTCTGTGTACCTGTGTTTTAGGCTGCCCATCTGGGATTAGATAACCTCTCTGGGAGCTAGTCACTGGAGCAAACTGATTCTCCCTCTCTGTGTCCTTTTTCTATTTCATTCTTCTGCATGTCTATTTTTGTGCCAGTACCATACAGTTTTGGTTATTATGGCTCTGTAATATTATTTAAAATCTGGTGTTGTACTACTTTAAGCATTGCTCTTTCTGCCTCAGCTTTTTCAAAATTTATATTGCTTCAATATGAATTTTAAGATTTTTCTATTTCTGTGAATAATGCCATTGGGGTGTTGATAGGATTATCTTGAATCTGTAGATTCCTTTCAGTAGTACAGATGTTTTTACAACAGTAATTCTGCCAATCCACGGCCAGTGAAGTCTTTCATCTTTTATTGTTTTCTTCAGTTTCTTTTTTCAGTGTTTAAAGTTGTCATTATAGGCCCTCTCATGTTCTTGGTTAGGTTTATTCCTGAGTACTTATTTATTTGCTACCGTACTAGCATTTGTGTGTGTGTGTGTGTATGTGTGTGTGTGTGTGCATGCGTGCACATGTGCACGCAGGGATAGGATCATGTAGGCCTCAAACTCATGATTCTTCTGTGTCAGTCTTTTGAGTACTGGGCTTTTAGGTGTATGCCACCATAACTGGCTAAGAAATGATATAGAATAGAAAGTACAGAAAATATCCAAGTGTAATGTTTGTAGAAATGGCAGGTGTTTTTACCTGGCTTCCTGAAGTTCCACTTCAGTCACATACACAGAAGCATTCCCACAGGCACTGGCAGCATGCTAGACTGCAGTGTAAAATTTATCAACTGTGACTCACAGTCAAAAAAGTTAGAAAGCCATTGCTTTATATATTATTGATTGTCAGCCCCCTCCTCAAAGGCTACCCAAGTGAGTGTTAAACATATTTGAGCATACTGAATTTCCTACAGACAGAGAGAACTCCATGTTGGCAGAATATCTATGGTGTCTCAGAGGGAGAAGATTCGGGACAAATAATTATGACATAGACTTAAATAATTTAAAGCTTTGAAATATTTTCTGTGTTTCTGATTAAAAATGGGAAATGTTCAAGACAGAATAGTCTAGGATTGGTGGAAACAATGAGGTCAGTATCCCTGAAGAAATCTTAGTAAGTGAATCATTATTTAATTAACTAGTGATTTGCCCAGGTAAGTCTTGCTAATAACTTTTTATTATTTATTTTTATTTTATGTGTATGAGTGTTTAGCCTGCATATATATAAGTGCACCATGTGCATACAATGCCCTTAAAGGCTAGAAGAGGGCATTAGATCCCTTTGAACTGGAGTTATCAATGGTTGTGAGCCACTGTGTGGGTGCTGGGAACTGAACCTCATCCTCTGTGAGAGCAGCTCGTGTGCTTAAAACTGCTGAGCTATCTCTCCAGCCCCCTCTTAATAATTTAAAGGTTAAAAATCTTATTCTTCAGTATTTATAAAATGAACATGTTAAAGATTAAAAGTCATTTTAGTGAGTCATTATTAGTTCAGTGGTTGGAAGGATCCAAAGAATAGACCCATTTCTAGATCAGAAATATTTTCAGGTGTATTTTAATTAACTTATAGTAATTATAAACACATTTAAGGGGTATGATAATGACATTGCAATAGGTGCATATGATGTACCATGATCAGATAAAAGAAATACTGCTCATTTGTCATTTATCAGACATTTGTGTTGTGAACATTCAAAATCCTCTGTTTTAGTTATTCCCCCCCACCCTTTACCCTCTTTATCCCTGATTAAACTCAGGGTTTCAAGCATGCTAGCTAAGTGCTATACTATTGGACTGTATTTCTAAGCATCAACTACCTGTTTTGAAATATTTAATGAATTTTTTCCAATGATGGTTATCTTGTGATGTAGAACATTAGAAGTTCTTCCTCCTATATAATTGGACCTTATCCTGATTAGCTATTCTCTTCCTTATCCCACAGATAAGAAATTTTGAAATAAATATGCAAATGGAGGCAACACTGGATTTTTTCTACAGTGAAAGAGGAAAGTGAAATTGAATCTTCACTAAACAGTTTAAGTGAATGTATGTAGAGAAGATTTATTGATTGATTGGAAAGATTGCTGGGTAGCTTAGGCTGGCCTAGAACTCACCATCCTTTCTGTTTCCAGAGTTCTGGGACTTAGGTATGCACTGCCATGCCAGGCTTACGAATTATTTAAAATTTCTACCAGTTATCTGTCCACAGCTTAAAACTGTGAAACAGCTCGATGACAAGGAACTCACAGAACCACCACCTGCTCTGCAGCCAGAACAAGGCTGTGCTCTAGAAAACAGAGTTTTCCATTACAGCACATTTGCTTCCTAGGAATGGGCTGTTTGACCATGTGTGAAAACTGTTTGTCAGATAACTTTATAAAGGACACAATAAAATTGTTTACTGGTTCATAGATTTCTCTTCCCATAAAAGAATTTTCTGGAGTAAATATAACTTATCTCTATCACAGGTGCCCTCAGTTCTGAGTGCTAATGCTTTAAGCTACATGGGCACACATGGCCCTAATTCGTTTGTATTTGCTTTCCTGAAATTCTTTCTTCTCTATCTCTCTAGCTCAGGAATGTTTTCTGTCCAAGGAAGGGGTTGAGGTTGTCCTCAGTTCCTTACTTCTATTTGAAGTGCTTTGTAGGTCTAGGATTTGGAAAGCCAAAAATTAGAGACACTTTCAGGTTAGTTTCCAAACACCTCCCTCAAGCAATGAGATACCTGACTTTCTTGGAGAAGGGTATGCTTATTAGGAAGGCAAAGGGAAGAGGGATCAGAAAAGGAAAATTTTAAAAAGTTCACCCTCAGGGCTGGAGAGATGGCTCAGCAGTTAAGAGGACTGGCTGCTCTTGTAGAGGACCTGGGTTTGATTCCCAGCACCCCACTCATATGGCAGCTCACAACTGTCCATAACTCTGGAACCCTGTTGCCCTAGTTCTCTTAGGGTCCCTTGCTCCTGGAGCTATTAGGCAAACCATATAACACATCGTTATTTGAATTTTTCATAGCTTATATCCTGGGTAGGGGAAATAGAGTAACTTACAAAGGTGAACACCTGGCACCCCACAACAGGTGAACACCCAGCACCCTGTTCTGCTCTGTGGCTCAGTAGCCCGCCATTCCAGATTTCTTCTGCACCCTGCCAACAGTCTCCGTTAGCTTTCACCCATGCCTTGTGGGCCTGAAGTCTCACCCCATGTCGGTAAATGCCCCCTTTCATTTCCATGTGGGCGAGACACTGGGGCCATTTTTTCTGTGCTGCCTACTTCCAAAATGACTCCCGCACTCGTCCCTCCATGGCTAACTTTGTGCAGCTCCCTCTTCTTAGCTAATGCTCTGCAGCAGGCCCTGCCTCTCAGAGGAACAAGTATCCCTTGGGACACACTCCACCCCTTCCTCTGGCTCTTACAATCATTCCTCCAATCTTCTGCTAAGGTCCCTGTGCCTTGGAGGGGGTGACAGATGTAGGGTGATCTCTCTTATATCATGGCAAGATAGTGACTTCTTGGGCCTCCCCATTATTTGTCTTCAAGCTGTGGCCATTGCTCTATCTCAGTGATGTGTCTTCTACTATAAAGACAAATGGAAGCAAGTAGACACATCTAAACAAACATGAATGTAAATACAAATGCCTAGAGGATAGCCCAGTAGGTGTACCATATTCATTAAACAGTATACTTGTGATGGCTTCCCTGCTACACCCTGTAGCCTTTCTCGACACAGGGGTTTGGCCTGGTCTACAGCACCAGGTGTGTGTTCCACCCCTAAGAGTGGGCCTTATCCAATTAGAAAATTGTCAGTTGTATGTATGTTAGTCAAGCCATTATTGCACTTGCAGGCATTGCTTGGCATGCCCATAGTGTGCAGCATGCAGGGTCCATTGTTGAGTAGAATTATAGGGGAACCTTTCTTCCCCAATCATCTACATAATGCCTTCTGGCACTATGAACATCATCCATCCAGTGGCATGGAGTTTCTGGCTTAGTCTCAACTCCATCTTTTCTTTTCCTCCCGCACTTACATCATGCAGTGTCTTCAGCAACATGGCCTTACTGACCTTTATAGTGTACAACTGATGTTAGTGGCAATAGCCTTAGTGAATTTGAGGACCTCTAGGATTCCTCTCTGAGCAACACCTCATAGGGGGCAACCCACCTCTGATACTGTAGATTTTCTTAACAGTTGTATAGTTTGGGAGCCTCTGTTTTTATCTTACCCAACCATAAAACTCCCAAGAACCTTATAGCTATAGCTGGCCTTTGTTTCTTCAGGTATCTTTCAAATGGGTTTCACATCTGTAAAACAGTCAAAGGAAGGTTAACATCATTTATTAAGTCATTCATAGACAAGGTCCAACATAGCATGGAAAGTTTTTATCCATTTGTATTAACTTTTTTCTCCATAGATCTTTGTTAGGTACTATGGCATGGGTAAGAGACATTAATTTGTTTAGTTCTTACCATCTTTGGTCTCTTTGGAGTCATTCCACATTCTGGGGATCTTACATGGAGTCTCTTGATATATTTTTTTTTTATCTTTGATACACTTATAGGTGTTGGCTCCAGTTGC